AGCCACTAACAAGCCATTTTCTATAAAGTGGTTACTGAAAAGGAATACATGAATTGATTTTACTGTGTAGCATGTCAATGACCTGTATTTTAAATGTGCTATAAGGATATAGGTCACTTAATCTGGCTATAACAAGCAAATAAGTGGTAGGGAGTTTGCATATTTAAATATAGATGACAACATAAGAAGGTGTTCAAGTATCCTGTGAAATGAGCTTGAGTTAGTAAAATTGCAGCAGCTTCATGTGCTTTGATGGAATGGCATTCAGCTATTAGGTGGTGATTTTGTGAAGATTTTGTGATTGAACAAGCATACTGTTAGAGGGTTTAATAGTATCTTCAGAAAAGTATTGTTCAAAGTAAATTCAAAACTTATAAAATTACAGGTACATAGTAGTAGGATTTTTATCTGAAGCAGTATAAAACTAACAAAATTTAAGAATACTGTACATTTAGCATACTACTATGATTATGCTGTATGTACTTAAAGCACTTACAATATATAACAAAACTGCATTAAAGTATACTATATTCATAAAAGGGAGTACCGTTACACTTCTGGTCGAGATTTATTTCTAAAAATCAGTTGTTTTAATAAAATTACATGTGTGATATGCACACAGGCAAAATGTAGACTTGCATTGCTTTTGCCAATCTAATTAATTTGTCTCAAAATACTTAATGGAAAGTTTCTATATAATTTATGCTTTCTCAAGCCAGATCAAACTTTTTCGTTTCTTCATACTCAGCCCAGAGGTCAGGTTTTAAGGAATTGAATGACTCCAACGTCGTAGGTGTGGAGGGCACGGGGCTCAGCAGAGCAGAGGAGTGGGCTCAAGCCATTCTGAGACAGACAGGGACAGATGAGGATAGGGACAGAAAGCCTCACAGCTGGGAAACCAGTCAGGGCCAGGGCTTACTGAGCAGAGTGACTCTATGTTGACTCTCTGCCTCTCCACTCGGAGCCCTCCTGACCCGAACCTAACCTCTGTGATGCTAATGCTTATTTATGGCCCATTATAGTGCAATGCTTCATCCTCTCTAGTACCACCTTGATTTATGCTAGATTCATCACACCTCACGGCCACTGTCACACCATTCTGACAGGATGTCACACCACGGAGCTCTTTGAAAACTCTTTGTCTAAGACTGAACAGAAAACAAGACAATCATATTGGTAATGATGACATGATAGATAGATGCTTTTTTTTGTCTCAACAGTGGTTCTCTTGATAAACACATATATAGCAAAGAAGCTATATTAGGTGCAATATGGACTTTTTGAAAGTGATGCTTAAAAAAAAGTGCTCTCACTGTCCTTATAAAAATGTCTTTTAAAAAAGAGGACTAGAAACCAAGGTAAATCAAATTGTGCTGTGATAAGAACAGGGTGTTGTTTAACAACGCAGGAGGCAGAGTCGTGTGAAACGGTACCTGTTAAGTGCCGTCATTAAGCTGGAGTCAAAGAGTCTAGATGGCTGCATTGTGTGCCGCTGGCCTTGTTTCCTGCTAGCTCTGTAGATGTGGATTGTCCTTGAGCCCTTCACAACGATAGGAGTGGGTGGCACGAACAGGACAGGCGAACACAGGAGACAATGGAGAGGTGACGGGGACATACCACTGCTGCAAGTCTGCCACTCCCTGCCATTAAGTCTAGTCATCCAGTCTGTCCAGCTACTGTGGCTGTCTCTCATGTCTTGTTGACTGCTGGCATGAGGCTTACAGTAGAGAAATGTGGAGATGCCAAACCCACCGTTCACACTTTCAATTAGGGATATATTACGCAGGACGTCACCTCACCTCCTTGTGAAAAGGAGAGACAAAGAGGCAGGATGGCACCTCAGGTCCTTTGAACTGCCGCCCTCCCCTTCGTCTCTGTCACCAGGCTAGTTTGCATTTTACACCAGCGTGATGGCAGCCTGACACACACTCTCAGGTTGTAATGAGGCTCTGTGTGGAGATGGCTGCCTCAGATCTTCAGCCCCTTTGGGAACCATAAAGGTAGTGCGATCAAAGACAGCCTCCCCTCCATAAACACACTTTGATACACTCACTTTATGAGCCATGATCTGCAGGATGAACCAGGCCGCTTTAGCCATAATACAGGTCATACCTGTTTAGGCCTCAGAGCTATTGATCAACACCTATGTAACAAAAGCCTTCTTTAGACAGAACAGGTATATTCCAATGTTTTCAAACCCCCTTTATCTCAGAATGAGGCATAGCTAAAGATAAATATTTTCACTTTTACCAATATTTGGGGGTCACAGTTTATCATAATGTATATATTAAATGAATGATACCTTCACATTGTCTCTGAGTGAACACAAAGTGCATGCTGGAGGTATGATGGATCATCATTCCACTCTTCCATACCCACTTTCCCTCCTGAGTTGCAGGACCAATTTGTGGCCTGCTTTTCTTAAATTGTGTTTCTTTTGAGACATCCATTAGCTTGTTCTTTCAGCTTGGAGACCTCCCACCCCTGTGTGCTTGGCCATGCATTCATCATCCATTTTCACTTTTGTTAAGGCCATGCATCAAACGATCAATCATAGCCAAGTGTTTGCTTTAGCATTGGCCATCTTTCATTGTCACCATCAAAGGACTGTCTTGTCTTCTTTGTAGGGGTGAGAGAACGAAAGAGGGGTTAAACGAGAAGAGTGCAGAAACCCATCCTGGCAAAAATTGCAAAGAGGTTGACTATTTGAGAAGCCAGTTTACCATTGGCGGTGTGACGTGTCTCTGGAGCTCAGGGTTTCTCACCGACCTGCCCTCTGGTTCACCTTAGTGGGCTGCTGAGACTGCCATCCTTCTCCATCTGTCACCGGCAGAGACGGTCTGTTTTACTGCTGCCCAAGTGGAACACTGCAGGTCCGAGTTCAGCCAGAATTCACAAGGAATGCACTTATACGGCACATACATGGCTGTTGACCTCTATTCTCACTCATCCATACTTTTAAGTGTTTAGTCAGAATAAGTATATAAAATTCAGAGAATAGGTAGTAATGAAAGCTTCTTAGCACAACAGAGGAGACACAATGTTCTCTTAAATTGGAAATTGGAAACTTTCATGTATGAGACCGATGTTTTGTAGAGCACAATAAGCACATCTGTACTACATTCCAATCCTTCAATCTTCAATCCTAAAAAGAGTTTAAGGAACAGAAGTGGTTTTAAGGAACCAGTCCAATACCATAAAATATCAACAGAATTTAATGTTCTATTTGCAAGGGGTGAGATGGCACATGAAGTGTAGTGTGATTGATCAGGAGACTCAGAGACAGTAAGCGGAGTCAAGTGGACAAAGAGCTGATAGCAGGATTAGCAGGTGAAGGCTGAGAGGACTGAATGGAGCCGAGATGGCCAGTGATGTTGATAAAGAGACAAGTTCCAACCTGGAGTGACTGCGCTGCTTTGGCTAATATGTACCGTATGTTGGACATTCAGTAAAATGCTTTAAAAGTAAACAGGATTGAGGTTTGGTTTCACTGTTCTGACGGCCTAAACCCAGCAATTAAATGATGAGTTGAATCATATGTTTGAACCCCACAGGATCATCTGATCCCAGGTCATTGAGATGTTTACAAATAAGCACGATCGTCACTTAGTGTGAAATAAATCTCTCAGATTTTGTGGCATGTCTTCCAGGCATGTTAGAATTGAGTGTAAAGAATTCGGGTTTGTGCCAGCTGGAGGGGATTGATTATTTGCTTACATGGGGTTATAGGGTACTTCTTTCTAGGATACTTTTCAAATGAAGACATTTTCCTGACCCAGCTGAATCAAGTGACATTGGATGTACCTCACTGCCAAACCTGGGAAGTCCATTAATATAAAGTGTGAACTATGGATTAACCGAGTGCTGATCAAAAACAACTTTGTCACAATCTGACCCCGAATTAAAAGTACAGATTGTCTCTAATTTTTGCTCTGTTAAAAGTACTGATGCTCCTGGAGTTTAGATTTACAGAGTAAGCTGAAACACACCTAAGGTACCAAGCTGTTGACTATGAAACCCTCTCCTAAGCAGGTGATTGAGATACACTATGTCCTCTTAAACCTGAGTGGTGCATGGCATAGGTGTTCATAAACTATGTGAGCATTTTGAACTGCCTTTTCCTTTGGCTCAGGGCTGCCTCTGATATTATGTAAAGCTTAGTCAGCATCTTCACAGTGATTCAGCTGATCCTTTACACATCCCAACATGCATTCCCAAGAGACTTATGCGAGTTTCCCCAAAGGCAAAAGGAGGATTTAAAACCAGGACCACATGGCTTCTGTTCAGCCAAGAGCCCCTTGAGATCTTGTATTGAGTTAAGAAATATGAGGGGTTCCATGAAAATATATAGCAACACCTATCTATTACTTTAAAGAGGTATTTTGTGTAGCAGGTAGTTTTTCAGGGACCCAAGAACTTTTTTTATGCACAGTACCACTGGAGGAACTTTTGCCTATAATAATTCCTGGGATGTAGTTGCAAGAACATTTTTAGCTCATCATCCTGAATAGGAATTACTGGTATGGAATTTGTTGTATATTCGGTTTTATATTTGAGATGAAGGGTTCTGTGCTGCTTTTGTTTTTACACTAGTTGTGGGAGTGTACATGTTATGTGGCAGCAGCAAAAAGTCTCAAACCATGCAACATTAAGTTTATCATCATAATTCTACAATAAAATTTCAGACACTGGAAAAGGGAGAGACATTTTCCTTCTTTTTCTTAGCCTTTGCATGGGAAACAAGGTCACCATGGGCCACCACATGTGCATTTCTGATGTACAGATATTATCCACTCCATAACGCTCTTTCCCTCTCCCAATCTTTGCAATAAATCATACAATAGAAATGGTTCTGTACATCATAGACATACTGTCTGCACTTACACTTTGCCTTTGTTTGCAGAAATTTATTTGATTTAATTCAGATCATTAGCTGTAAAACAAGCTCTTGGCAGCCACTGAGTATTTTTAAACCACCCCAATTTGATATTAAAAAAGGGTCCCCGGAGGACTAGGGGTTAGGCCTCAGCGCTTTCACCCCCGTGGCCCAGGTTCAATTCCTGGCCAGGGAACCGACCCCAGCTACTGGGGTTATACAAGACTGTGCACTCCCAGTGCCAGTCCCAAGCCCGGATAAAACTGGGGAGGGTTGCATCAGGAAGGGCATCCGGTGTAAAAACTGTGCCAAATCAAATATGCGTGCCAATGAGCCGCAGTGGTGACCCCTAATGGGAGCAGCCACATTTTCATAACAACAACAATTTGGTATTAAAAAACACAACCCTGTCATTAACTGTCCTGTCCACTGCTCCTCCCCTCCACTTAAAATGTTCATAGTGTGGGTCAGCATGATTCTTGGCCCCACGGTTGTGCAACATCTAGATAGGTGAGCAAATCAATAGATCTTTGGCTTATATCTAGCAGATAGCAACTTTTTTTTAAAAAAAATTGTTGGTCAGTGAAAAGAGGTAATTAGGATTTCAATTGAATTTAAAATGCATGGAGATTAACACTGATGAACAGCTGATATATATAGTGGAGCTCTGTCCAACCTGCCCCTACAGACAAGCCACCACTGATTCCCTGCATATTCTAGTGTACTTAGTGTACTGTATAAGTACAGTTCCTATTTGATTTTGATTCTAACAAAAGCTCTAAGTCCATATGTGCAGTGTGATTGGTTCAACTTGTCCTATTTCAAGTTTTGCAGGGAAAGTGTTGTTTTGGTCACTGGAAGAAAGAATGCCTTATCGATATACGAAGCAAAGAGGGCATTCAAATGCAAATAGCCACAACACATAAAACCACAAGGTGTGAATATGCCCTTATTGTTTGCAGTCTACAGAAGTTGAGCCCACTGTGTGGCAGCCGATTGACATTTTTCTCCTAGGCCCCATTCACACATGGCAATAGCATGTGTGCTGGGTGATCAGATTGTAAGTGGACCGCACTAAGTACAGGTGTGAACTGGAGTAAATGCGTCTCAAGACGCATTGTGATCCGATCGCTCAACCCACATTCGGAGGTGGTCTGGGACGCATATGGCCACATCACATTTGTAGTGTGAACGCGAATGCATTTTGATGTGTCCTGGACAGCAACAAAGGACCGAATAATTGACTGTCTCGTTGCCCTAGCCTGAAACTAGATAATCATTGTGAGACTGTTTAAAAAATCATGCTGAACGGTAGAGCTCGATGCTGCTAGGGTAATAGATAAAGACAATGGTATAAAAGCCGAGATGAGAGCGGCTCCTTTTCATAGCTTCATTTGTCGTCTTATCTCTCATTCATTTATAAATTTCATTAGCAGACCATGCGATTAAAACATTTGAAACAGTCTGTACAGGTACATGAGATAGGATCCTCGCTTCTCGGTTGGTCTGCAACACTTCCAGTCTTTTTGAATTTGTTAATAAGTTTGGCAACAGTGTTGTGTGTGATGTGCTTGCCATGTTTCCTGTTAAAGTCCATTGCGACCTTGTGACAGCTTCCCGATCCAGCCACGAGAATTTCAAAACGTTCTTCTTTTGTCAAAAGCATTCTTAAAGGCTATCTGAAAAAAACACATATACGGTATGTATGAAACATTTTGGAAGACATTTTGCTGAAAAGTGTTAATTTCCCCTATGTATGAAGACTTTTGGGACACCCTGTAGTGAAAGACAGGTGTAATAAATGTGCGTGACAGCCTTTCTCCAGCGGAAACAATGCATGAATCATAAGTGGTTACTGAAGACGCAGTCATAGCCAGAACGGCTACGTGTCTCAGCTGTCCACTTGTGATTCGATCATCCAGGACGGCCCACAATGACCATGCCTGCCTCATACAATCCTTAGGCAGGGAGAATCATGCCCTAATTGGCATCCATGTGCCTCCTTCCAATCTTGTCAAGCAGGCTCTAAACAGCATCCCTCACCATGAAGCAAGGTTGTGAATGGCAGAAGCTGGTCACAGGACACTTTGTAGCAGAAAACACCACCCACTGGGCTGCAACTACATAAGATCAGTGGGACCTGATGACAATGTCACAGGGATACAAAGTTAAGTCCCGCCACTAGCCCCCAACCATTTTGAGGCTCAGGGTCTTGTCAAAGGAAGGGCTCTTAAAAACCCTCACTTTTTTGTATATTAAGGTTGTCAGATGTAGTTCTGTGTAGCTTCAGGTCTAGTTCATGTTGTTGGACCTGTATAATGCTTATTTTCAAGACCCCATCTCCCAGGAACACAGCTGCTTTCTAAAGTTTGCTATCCAAGGGCAGGCATACCTAGATCTACCCTTCGTTTCACTCTAGCACCATGGGTGTTTTCAAGATGTATGTAAATGGCCTTGTGTCCACTGATGGCCAGTGGAATCAGTATACTGCCATACTTGGATTACTAGCACCTGTGTGCCCCACCATGGAGGAAATATTATTTATTAGTGTAACTGAACCACTATTTGAATAATTAATCTTCCAATGCCTTCCTACAGCCTGAGATACAGCAAGATTGTCACACTGTTGTGATCATTTACAGAATCTTCTTGTTGCACCTGCAGCATTGGACAAGTGACCAGCAGGCCCAGTGGAGGATATTTTCCGCCCAGCGGCTTTTGACGTGACTGCCATTGCGGCCTCAGCAAGGCTGTGTGTGTTTGGGGGGTGATGGGCTGTTTGAGCAGTGAGATAAGGGGCTTGCATTGTGGGGGTCCACTGACAGGATGCTCCATTACACGGTGTAATTACAACCAGAAGCTGCGTCGAGTGTGAAAGCGACTGATAAGATCAGGTCAAGCGGGCAGGAGTTCAGCTAGAGCGCAGGCCAGGGTGAACAAAACACCTCTGACATGTTTTCGTTGCCCCGGCCATTAAATCGCTGCCCACATGCCTGAAGCAGGCTCACACACAAAAACACACTTACCTACCCCCTTCTAGCCTCTCCAGAGTCATCCTCCTCTGCTGCTAGCATGTACTGTACTCCAGCGTATGGATGTGAGAAAACAGCACAAGTGGGATAGTGCAGTCCAACTGTGCACTCCACACCCACAACACACACCTCTCCTTCTGAGTAGATAAGGTCGGCAAAGGGACAACCACAGGAAACCTCTCAAAGACACACACAAGCAATCTCTCTCCCTCTTTTCTCTGCCTCTCTTTCTCTCTTCTGCCCTCCACTTACCCTTACCCCCCTCCAGCCCTGGCCCAGCGGCACGCGCTGATTCCACAATCAGATTTGTCTGTCTTATTTTGAGGTCCCGACCTCGCTGCCTTTGGGAATGTGAACTTTTCTTGTTTATTGGTGGCCATCAGGCCGAGGCTTGCGAAGAACAGCTGTGTGTACACGTGTGTGCGAGTGTGCGAGTAAAATGCCTCCATTTGGCTGGATGTGGATTGCTCCTGTTGAGCAACAAAAGCACGAGGTGCTTGCCATTTCACAGACAGGACGAGAAACCCATCCAAATTTTCACACTTTGCCTAGTACACCTCACACACGCTCGTGAGCTGTCAATCCCAGCATCTTGTTCAGACTCGCTGGCAAAACCAAGACACAGCACAAGTTGGGTAAGAAACATCACCATCTGGACGTCCAGGGAAAAAACCCAAGTGAGAGAAGGGACGAAACAGGGGAGGCCATGCTCGTCTCCTACACCTGTGCCAGGGCCTGCTGAGTTATTTGTTTGCTGCTCGTCCACGGAGAAGGCTGGGAGGAGCAGTGTTTTACAGAAGCTGAGGAGGTGCTCTGTCTGCTGTCGCCGGCCTCGATTTATGACGCATCCTCTTGCTTTGAAGGCCAGCTCTGTTTGCTTAGCCCTCGCTAACTGCTTCATGTAGCCTGTCTCAGCACATGTTCAATTACAGCCTTTAGTCCACTTCCTCAGAAGGCCATCCTGAGCCATGTAATAGGACTCTGGATCATTTTGTTTAATTCCACCATTTTAAATACGTTTAACAGTATGTTCACTTCCGCCAAATTCAATTACACTGATGTGGGGCGTAATAAAGAGGGTTATGGGAAACACTGTGATTGCTGGAGACTGACCTCTACTTGCGCTGAAGTGGCCTGATAACAGGGCGATACAGATAGTATGCTGTGGACTAACGAGAGAAAGAAAGGAGGGATATCACCATCTGCACCTTTCTACAGCAACACGCACACAATCTAATGCAGCAACAGGAAGTCTCTGCAAAGTTCAGCCATGGGTCAGCATAGACATCGCTCCTCCCCTTTTAGCCCCCTTCCCCCAATGCACCACACACACGCACACACATCCACACACACTCCCACCCACCTGAGTGGTCTTTGAGGGGTCAGGGGGACTACCAAGGGGGTGTAGGGCAGAAAAAAGGGGACAACTACCATATAATTCAGACAATTAAGGAAACATTTTGTGAGCAGCAGTTGACGGTGCTGTGTGTGTTAAGTGTGTGACTGACCTTCTCCTGAACCCGTTTATGAAGTGTTGTTTTGGTTCCTGGAGTTTGTATGCGTGGCACATGTGTCGCTGTGTACCCAATCATCACCCTTTTCTCTGAATCAGAATGCACAGTTGGTTTTATTGGCCAGGTAAGATTGTCTCAAAAGGAATTTGGTTTGTCAGTTAATGACAATATACATTAAAGTAAATAAAAGGAAATAAATGGTTTACCTAAGGAAATACAACAGTCTATATACAAGAAACAGCGTATAAACAGAACTGTACAATGGGGTACACACATATATGACAGCCACAAACTTTTGCCAAATATCACTAGGTGTGCCAACCATTTTTCAAGCAAGATGCTGTAAATGATGGTGGATGAACAAACCAACCAGGTGAAAGTAACTCCTCAGCACTAGTGTTGTACACACACTAGTTTAGGCCTTTTAAGAGTGGTGTTAGCATAGATTAGACGTCTAGGTCCTCGGTGTGTTTTTCTCCTCAAACTGACCCTGCTCTAGAAAAAAAAAAAATTCTCTCTACCGTATGATTCCATAGGGTCCCAATGACCTCTCGCTTATAACAGAGTCAAAGCTCGGTCACAGTCCTAACAGACAGAGTGCTTAAACGTGTGTGTGTCTGTGTTCAGAGCCTTCATTAACTATTTCAAGA